GAACCCAGGGCCTCATGCATGCAAGGCAAGCACTCTACCACTGAGCCAACTTCCCAGCCCCATGTCCCTCAGCTCTTTAGCTCGAAGTTAGCGCTCTGCCTTAAGCTACAGTGTCACTTCTGGTTTTCTAGTGGTTTATTGGAGATAGTATTCTCATGGTCTTTCCTGCTTTGAATCGAGATCCTCAGATCTCCGCCTCCTGAGTACCTAGGATTACAGGCGTGAGCCGCCGGTGCCCAGCAGTATGGCAATTGAACCCAGGGTCTCAAGAAGGCTTGACAAGGGTTCTCCTACTTGAATTATGCCCGTAGCCCACTCTTCATCTCCCTTTTTTGAGATGCCCAGGCTGGCTTCACACTGGCGATCTAACCTGTCTACTCTGTGCTGAATACATGCCTGGCTTGAACTCTGGGCCTGGGTGCTGTCCCTGTGCTCTTCAGCTTAAGGCTAGCATTTTACCACTTGAGCCACAGTACCACTTCCGGTTTTCTGAGTGATTTTTATTGGAGATAAAGCCCAGGCTGGCTTTGAACCGTGATACTCAGATCTCAGCCTCCTAAGTAGCTAGGATTACAGGCATGAGCCACCAGCACCTGGCTCTGTCCACTTTTTTTAAAACTCTGGTGGGATGCAGCTAGTGAGATTCAGGAGAGTGAGTCTGATCTTTACAAACTGAATCTTATCCTGTCTAGTATAGATTGGCTAGATTGCTGCTAATAATTACAAAAATAGGGCCGGAATGTGGCTTAGTGGTAGAGTGCTTGCCTAACATGCATGCTGTGTTTGATTCCTCAATACCACATAAACAGAAAAAGCCAAAAGTGGCTCTGTGGCTCAAATGGTAGAGTGCTAGCCTTGAACAAAAGAAACTCGGACAATGCCCAGGCCCTGAGTTCAAGCCACAGGACTGCCTCTCCCCCTCCCCCAGACACCAAAAAAAAAATTATAAAAATAGTGCTGGAAACTCTTGTGGGCAGCAGAGTAAGGAAATTGGGAAATATACAATACAACTTCTTATGCTGTAGTGTGACTAACAGGATCACTAAGATTTTGTCTATTGACTGGGCAGGGCAGGGAGGTTTGAACAAACTTTTTGTTTCTGTTTTTGTTTGTTTGTCGTGGGGTCTGAATTCTGGCCTGGGCGCTGTCCCTCAGCACTTCAGCTCAAGGCTAACACTCTACCATTTGACCCATAGCACCATTTCCAGATCTTTGTGCTTATGTGGTGCTGAGGAGTTGAACCCAGGGCCTCATGCATGTAAGGCAAACACTCTACCAGCCCCTGAACAACTTTTTGATACTGCTCTGACTTTTCTCCTTTTGATTTCTCCTCTTACCCTCTTACAGATCGAAGAACACAGGATCTGTGTCTGTGTTAGGAAACGCCCTTTAAATAAGCAAGGTAAGCCATTCAGTCAGTCAAAAAGAGGCTTCAGACTGACTGAAGGTCCCCTGTATCCAGAGAGCACCCCCCTGAAGTTCTCTCCCTCTGCAGAACTGGCCAAGAAAGAAATCGATGTGATTTCTGTTCCTAGCAAGTGCCTCCTCTTGGTGCATGAACCGAAATTAAAAGTGGACTTAACAAAGTATCTAGAGAACCAGGCATTCTGTTTTGACTTTGCATTTGATGAAACAGCGACCAATGAAGTTGTCTACAGGTTAGTCTGTCGCCTATTTGATTGATTTACTGATTGATTGATTGTACTGAATTTGAATTCAGGTGCTTGTTGGCTGTTATTAATACCACAGAACCAAACTTTCTGCCCTGCTTTTCACTGGTTTTATTTAGGATAGGATGTTGCTTCTCCTAGTGGCTTTAGGGAGCCACCTGGTCTAATCCCACTAATTTTTTGCCCAGGATGGCATCAAATAATAATCTCATTCTCAACTTCCCAAATAGCTAGAATTATAAGTATGACCCACTAGCACCTGGCTTCTAGCTATTTTTAATATTATATATATATATATAATTGTAATATATTTTATATATAATTATGTAATTATAATATATATAGTCTTTGTAAAGGTAATATACAGAGGGGTTACAGTTACAAAAGTCAGGCAATAAGTACGTTTCTTTTTGAACAGTGTATCCCCTTCCCTTCTCTCTCCCAGTTTTTTCCCTCCTATTTCTACCCACAAGTTGTGTAGTATATTTTCAACATATCTAGTGAGTATCAATGCTGCATTTGTTTGTTGTCATTGTTGTTTGTGTGTGTGTGTTAGTCATGGTCCTGAACTCTGGGCCTGGGCGCTGGGCTCTAGCACTCTAGCCACAGTGCAAGCCTTTTCTGTTTATAGGGTACTGAGGAATCGAACCCAGAGCCTCATGCATGTAAGGCAAGCACTCTACCACTGAGCCACCTTCCCAGCCTGTCACTGCTGCATTTACCCTTTTTCCTACCCTTTCTGTGTTCCACCTTACCCTCCCCAAAACAGATAAACTTACAAGCAAAAGTACAGAAAACAAAAATAGCAACAAAGAAAAAAAGAACCCTCTTGTTTCCATTTCTTAGAGTTCATTTCAAAATATTATGCGATCATATTTACATGATCATATTCACATAGCTACCGAGCCTATGGTTTTTGAGACAGATTCTTGCCCAAAAGGCCCTTGAAAACTGGCAGTTTAGCCCAAACTGCCATTTAGCTTTCCATCCTGCCTGAGCCTTCCAAGTGTTGGAATTACAGGTGTGGGCCACCTTCCTGGCTTCAAGTTTTTTCTTTTCACACTTTTTTTTTTTTAATTTTTGGTGACAATGGCTCACATTTGTATTCCTACCTACTCAGGAGGCCGAGATCCAAGGATTATGGTTTGAAACCAGCTGGGAAGAAAAGTCTGAGAGAGTCTCATTTATAATTAACCTGCAGAAATCAAAAAGCTAGGACTGGGAAGATGGCTCGATGATAGAGTGCTTGCTTCACATGCATGAGGCTCTGGGTTTGATTCCTCAGCACCACATAAGCAGAAAAATCCAGAAGTGGCGCTATGGCTCAAGTGGTAGAGCACTAGCCTTGAGCAGAAGAGCTGAGGGACAGCGCCCAGGCCCAGAGTTCAGGCTCTATGACCTACAAAAAGAAAAAAAGAAATCAAAAAGCTGGCCTTGGATGCATGACTGAAGTGGTAGATTGCTATTTATGAGCAAAAAAGCTCAGTGAAAATGTGAGGCCCTAAATTCAAGGCCTAGTACCAGCGCGCACTCTCTCTCTCTCTCTTTCTCTCCTCTCTCTCTCTCTCCTCTCTCTCTCTCTCCTCTCTCTCTCTCTCTCCTATAATCCTAACACACAGAAGACCAAGATAGGAGAATAGAGAGCGTTCAAGACCCAGCCAGGGCTCCTTATTGAGACCCTGTCTCAAGCAGAAAAATGTGACAAACAGCCCACAGAGCATAAAATATTTTAGATCTGATTTCCCTTGGATGCTGCTGGAGGCTGTCTGCCAAGCTCAGATTTTCACTTTTATCTCCAGTGTCAGAAGATAGGCTGGGCAGTTTAGAATGTATGCCATCAGCCTGCTCCTGGTAGGTTACTATCCCTCACCCCCTCCCTGACAATAAGCCAGTAGTATTTTGGATTTGTTAGTGGGTCAAGAAGAAGATGGACTACTGAGGCAGGAAAGGAGTAGTATACCTAGAAGGTATTGGGGACCTCAGGCCCTCTACATTCTTGGGTTACATAGCTGTGTATTTAGCCATCCACAGATCACAAAAGACTGGTTCTGTACTGAACATTTGCAGACATTTTACAATGCAGCATAACAACTATCTTGCACTTAAGTATTACTAATAACCTAGAAATTATGCAAAGATGGGGAATGTGTCATATGCCATATTACATATAAAGACTTTGAAGCCTGGTAGTAGCTTAGTGGTAGAGTACTTGCTAGCCAGTGTGATGCCCCATTCCATCACTAGCAAAATAAAAATTGAAAAATAAGAGTAATGGACTTGCAAATTTGCTGAATATCTGTTTGAGGGGTTCCTGGAACATTAGAATCCAATAGTGATGGAACATCTCCATTTGCCTGGAGAGCTCTTTGGAGGTTCTAGCAGGGGAACATGGTTACTAATAAACTCTTGACCAAAGAATAGATTCTACCAGAGAAAATGATCTTCTACCACATATGTAGCTTTGGGAGGGATGCATATGGAACTTTGAGTGAAGGAGTACCCACCTAACCAGCCAGGTCAACCAAATCAACCCTGGTGATGGTACGGAGATAGTATTGCAGAGCATCCTAACATTTCCAGTGCCTCTTAGAACCCAAGAATTATTGGTTGCACAAATGCCACCCCCCGCCCTTCTATCCTTTCTCCTAGATTTACAGCAAGGCCACTGGTACAGACGATTTTTGAAGGAGGAAAAGCAACTTGTTTTGCATATGGGCAGACAGGAAGTGGCAAGACACATGTGAGTATTCAAGTCTGCAGAGAGATAACTTTCCTATAGTGTAATATTGGACTCCTGAAAAGGAAGAGAATGTCTTGCAAAAAGTCCTTTCAGTGCAGATGCCCCATCACCAGACACTCACTATACCAGACACACAGAGAGGCCTCAGCAGCTTTAGTCTCCTGGCTTTGGTATGGCCCACTCTAGCAATATAGCCAGTAGACCTGGCTTAGACCAAGTTTAACCATAGTTGTCTACTTTTCCTTTTGCAGACTATGGGTGGAGACCTGTCTGGTAAAGCTCAGAATGCATCCAAAGGGATCTATGCAATGGCCTGTGAGTAATACGTTTTGTCTCATTGGGATTGGGTGAAGAAAGGTAGGTTGTTACTTATCCAGGCTCTCTTCCTCAGCCCAGGATGTCTTCCTCCTGAAGAAACAGTCCCGTTACCGGAACCTGGGCCTGGAAGTCTATGTGACCTTCTTTGAGATCTACAATGGGAAGGTAGTAGTCAGGGAGCCCCTATCTATGCTGAGGGAGCTCCTGACTTTCCAATACCTTAAAGTTGGCTACAAGTTACAGAAGACAAATAACTTACTAGGTTAGACCTTTGAGCTATTCGTCCCAGGCATGTAGAGGGAGGTGAAAATCTGATGAGATGGCGCCAAAGTTATTCAAGAACTGGCATCTTCTTAGAGGCTAAGAGCTGAGGATCACTGTTCAAAGCCAGTCTGAGCAGGAAAGTCCATGAGACTTTTTTTTTGCTTCCTTATTTTTCTTTTTGTTCAAACTAAGGACCTGGGCGCCATCCCTGAGCTCTTTTTGCTCAAGGCTAGCACTCTACCACTTTGTGCCACAGTGCTACTTCCTGTTTTCTGGTGGTTAATTGGAGATAAGAGTCTCAAAAACATTCCTGCTAAGGCTGGCTTTGAGCCATGATCCTCAGATCTCCTCTGAGTAGCTAGGATTATAGGCATGAGCCACCAGCGCCTGGCATGTGAATACTTTTGATTTCTCTGTAGTCTCTATACACTTTTATAGGGTTGCCTTCCTCCTTAGAAAACAGATTATAAAAGTAGCTAATATTTATTCCTAGTATGTACTAAGCACTATTTGTGTGTGTGTGTGTGTGTGTGTGTGTTTTAGTACCTGATTTAAACTCGGGGCCTTGTGCTTTTTTTTTTTTTTTTGGTGCTGGTACTGGAGCTTGAATCCAGAGCCACACTTTCTCACTTGGCTTATTTTGCTCAAGCTGGCACACACTACCACTTCAGCCACATGTCCATTTCCAGCTTCTTGCTGGTTAACTGGGAATAAGAATATCCCAGATTTGGGGCTGGGAAGGTGGCTCCATGGTAGAAGGCTTGCCTTGCATGCATATGGCCCTGGGTTCAATTCTTCAGCACCAAATAAACAGAAAAGGCCAGAAGTGGTGCTGTGGCTCAAGTGGTAAAGCACTAGCCTTGAGCTGAAGAGCTGAGGAACAGCATCCAGGCCCAGAGTTCAGGCCCCACAACCAACCAAAAAGAAAAAGAATCTCACAGATTTATCTGTTTGACCTGGCTTTGAAACATATAATCCTCAGATCTCAGCCTTCTGAGTAGTTAGGAGTTCAAGTATGAGCCACCAGTTTCCACTGCTAAGCACTATTCTAAGCACTTTTTTTTTTTTTTTTTTGTCGGTTGTGGGGCTTGAACTCTGGCCCTGGGCACTGTCTCTCAGCTCTTCAGCTCAAGGCAAGCACTCTACCGCTTGAGCCACAGCGCCACTTCTGGTTTTCTAGCGGTTTATTGGAGATAAGAGTCTCACTTTCCTGTCAGGGCTGGCCTTGAACCATGATCCTCAGATCTCAGCCTTCTGAGTAGCTAGGATACAGGCATGAGCCACCAGCGCCCTGCTATCTAAGCACATAATTTATCTTGACTTTACAAATAAAAACAGATTAGAGTGGTTCAGTAACTTGCTCAGCCCTTGCAACTAGTAAAGTAGCAGAGCCAAATTGAACTGAGGTAAACTAGTTCAGATTCCAAGTACAATGCCCTCTACTAGTCTGATATCTGGAGATTGGAAGAGCTGGACAGGGTACCTAGCACCTGTGCCCTTAGGTTTATTCTGTCTGCCTTGCACAGCTGTTTGATCTGCTCAACAAAAAGGCCAAGTTACGTGTGCTGGAGGACGGCAAGCAACAGGTGCAGGTGGTGGGGCTGCAGGAGTACCTGGTTAACTCTGCTGATGATGTCATCAAGATGATCAACTTGGGTAGCGCCTGCAGGTCAGAATTTTAATAAAGAAGGGGCTATCTTCTAATGACTGGTTTTAACCTAACTCGTGCCATTTGTTTCCACATAATGCTACTTGTTGCCAGCTTGGTAAAGGCTGTGAGGGTCTCTGCTTTAAGGGCTCACAGTAGGACAGAATCCAAGGCCAAAGGCTTCTCAGACTCAAGTCAAAGTTGTCCGACTCTAACCAAGGCAGGCTTTATTCACAGGCATGCTTCTCCACATCTATAAGACTGTCCTGGTCCTTCCCTTGTGAAATTCAGGAGCTTCCTGGATGGATGTGTTCTGGGATAGAACACAGAAGTAAGGAAGTACTGATATGGTATTATGGAGGGTCAGGGAGGGGCTACCCTCCTCAGGCCCCTCAAATGCTCTCATGTTGTTTATATATGCCCTGGAGCAGACAGCTCATCCTTCCGCAGATCTACCTAAAGCCTACTGATTTGGCTATGTAGAAAATTATTATGTCCAAAGTTGGAGATGGCTGTTGTCCAGAATGAAAGTCTGAGAAAGGAAGACACACAACTTATTAGAATCCTGATCTGACCTAAACACTGGAGGGTCTTGGGGACTGGATCCCAGAAGGTCATAATAACCTTTCTTTGCCTCCCTCATCACCTTTGCCACAGGACCTCTGGGCAAACATTTGCCAACTCCAACTCTTCCCGCTCCCATGCCTGCTTCCAGATACTTCTTCGAGTCAAAGGGAAACTATATGGCAAGTTTTCTTTGGTAGATCTGGCAGGAAACGAACGAGGGGCAGATACTTCCAGTGCTGACCGGCAAACCCGAATGGAGGGTGCAGAAATCAACAAAAGTCTTCTGGCCCTGAAGGTAACAGAGCCCAGCTGGTGGTAGGGCCTGGAGGGAAGGGAGGGAAAGATGGGTCTTTAATTGTTCCTGCTGCTTCACAGGAGTGTATCAGGGCCCTAGGACAGAACAAAGCTCACACCCCATTCCGAGAGAGTAAACTGACACAGGTGCTGAGAGACTCCTTTATTGGGGAGAACTCAAGGACTTGCATGGTGAGTAGAGTTACTTTGGTACAGAGGAGACATTTAGTTCTGTCCCTGGATAGCAGGCTCATTCCTGGCTGCCTCCATTTCCAGGCTCTTGACTGGACTTCCACCACTCCTTTACTGCTGCTGCTTCCACATTACCACCTCCCCCATCCCCAACCTCCAAGCAAGGAGGAAAGAACCTGCCCCTTGCCAGGCACTGTTGGCTTAAGCCTATAATCCTAACTACTCTGGAGACTGAAATCTTAAGATTATGATTGGAAGCCACTCTGGGCCAAGAAAACCCTTGAGACTCTTATCTCTAATTAAGTACCAGAAAACCAGAAGTGGATTTGTGTGGTAGAGTCCTAGCCTTGAGCAAAAAAAAAAAAAAAAAAAGCTGGGGCTAGGAAGGAGTCTCAGTGGTAGAATGCTTGCCTTACATGCATGAGACCCTGGGTTTGATTCCTCAGCACCACATAAGAAAAAAGAAAAAAGCCGGAAGTGGCTCTGTGGCTCAAGTGGTAGAGTGCTAGCCATAAGCTGAAGAGCCAAGGGACAGTGCCCAGGCCCAGAGTTCAGGCCCCACAACTAACCAAAGGAAAAAAAAAAGAACCTGCTCTTTTACCATGTGTAGGCACATCTCTTGGCTGGCTGGCTGAGAGTCCCTTATCTGGTTAAATAGCCCACAACCGGACCCAAAAAAAAAAAAAAGGGACTTGCAAAACTTGAAGATAAACCTGAGGGGATGCAAACAAGGAAAATCCTTATCTCTTCCAAGACTTCCTTCAGATTCATTGGTTCCCAACCTAGTATATAGGCTGGAGCACTAGCTATAAGCCTGCAGTGATTTTTTTTTTTTTTTTTTTTACGCGCACGGGTCATAAGGCCTGAATTCTGGGCCTGGGCACTGTCCCTCAGCTCTTCAGCTCAAGGCTAGTACTCTACCATATGAGGTACAGTGCCACTTCCGGCTTTTTCTGCTTATGTGGTGCTGAAGAATTGAACCCAGGGCCTCATGCATGCAAGGCAAGCACTCTACCACTGAGCCACCTTCCCAGCCCCGTCCCCCCACCCCTTTTTTTTTTTTTTTTTTAGTGCCAGCACTGGGGCTTGAATTCAGGGTCTTGCACTCTTACTTGGCTTTTTCACATAAGGCCAGAGATCTTCCACTGAAGCCACACTTCCAGTTTTGGCTTTTTGCTAGTTCATTGGACAAGAATATCTCATCTGTAGTCACAGCTACCAAGGAGAGTGAAGCAGGAAGATCACTTCAGCCCAGGAGTTTGAGACCAGTGTGGGCAACATAGTAAAAGTCTGGCTTTTTAAAAAAAACTTTGGCCGGGTGCTGGTGGCTCACGCCTGTAATCCTAGCTACTCAGGAAGCTGAGATCTGAGGATCATGGTTCAAAGCCAGCCCGGGCTTGAAACTCTTCTCTCCAATAAACCACTCAGAAAACCGGAAGTGGCACTGTAGCTCAACTGGTAGAGCACTAGCCTTGAGCTGAAGAGCACAAGCGCTCAGGCCCAGAATTCAAGCCCCATGACCAACCAACAAACAAAAAATAAAAAAACCTTTGTTTTTTTTTCTGTTGGGCGCCAGTGGTTCACACCTTGAATACAGTACCTACCCAGGAGGCTGAGATCTGGGCTGAGCCAGCCCAGGAAGTAAAGTCTGTGAGACTATCTCCAATGAACTACCAAAACGCCGGAAGTAGAACTATGATTCAAGTAGTCGAGCGCTAGCTTTTAGCAAAAGAAGCTCTGGGGCAGCACCACATCCCTGAGTTCAAGCCCCAGGACTGGCACCAAAAAAGAAAAAAAGTTTTTTTGTTAAAAATTTGTTTTTTTAAATATGCATTGCATATTGGGCAAGTTGCCTGGCATAGCATGGGTGCCTAATGATTCCTTCCACTTTACCAAGTGAATGTCATCAGCTCAGAGGTTCCTCCCAGCAGCAACTTCAGGAGCAGACTGACTAGCATCTCTACCTGTGATATGCAACTTCTATCTTTTGCCTCTTTTCAGATTGCTATGATCTCACCAGGCATAAGCTCCTGTGAATATACTTTAAACACACTACGATATGCAGACAGGTACTAGTACCTCCAGCCTAATGGGATGGGGAATGGATGGGGGAGGCTGGGATACCCAGTGCCTGCTGTATACTCCCTATGATTCAGTGACTGGAAGTCATGGGAGTTCAGCTGTGGTGCTAGACCTTTCCCAGCTCCCTTTAGCATTGTTTGAGGGTTTTGTCCAGTTTATTTTCTCTTGCCCAATGGCAAAACTACTGCTTATCAACCTTGGATCTCAGCCTTGTAACCTGTGTGTCTCTGTACTCCATGCTGAGTGCCAAGGGAGCTGCTGTGAGATCAAGACTTCCTTATTTCCTCAGAGTCAAGGAGCTCAGCCCCCACACCGGGCCCAGTGGAGAGCAGCCAATTCAAATGGAAACAGAAGAGATGGAAACCAACTGTAATAGGGCTCTGATCTCAAGCAGTGTAAGAGGGCTACAAGGGAGGGAGGGAAAGTGAAAATGTGGCCTCTGAGGTAGGAACCCCAGGCCATGTAGTCTATATTGTTCTCTATTTTTGGACCTCAGTTCTCCAAGGAAGAAGATGAACTGTCTTCCCAGATGTCCAGCTTTAATGAAGCCATGACACAGATCAGGGAGCTGGAGGAGAGAGCTATGGAAGAGCTTAAGGAGATTATACAGGTAGGGGCTAGCCCTGGCCAGGGAGGAACTGCATGTCCATACTGGCTCCCTTGGGTTGGGATGGCAAGAGGCCCCCCACACTAGCACTCCTTAATCTCTACCTGACAATCTAGCTGTTCTAGGGCAGGCAGTGATCACACCATCTGGCGCAAATAGGCCTTTCTGTGTCCTCCCAGCTAGAGCTACTAAGCCTCCTCCTCCTCCCTTTATTGAAGATGCTGGGGGTAATTCAGGAATCTTTGCTCTTTTATTCAGTAAATGTTCCAGCTCCTATGCTACAATCATGGACCTAAAACAGCAGATCCATGTAGTAAGCTCTAAGTAGACTTGAGGTCAATCCTGACCCTTCTGGGTGTGAGTTGATTTCCTTGTGAAAGTCAGCCTCACTGAGCCTCAGTTTTTTCATCCCTAAATTGGGAGAGAAGGGATGTCTTTGATGATTAAGTGGTTGGAGCTGAGTAAGTGGGAGGTGCTACTTTTGCTATTGAGGAACCACACAAAATATCTCAACACATTGGCATTCTGGGAATTGCAGAGCAGAAAGGAAGAATTTGTAGCACTTGTGATATGGGACTATGGCGAAGTGCTTAAGCATGTCTTCTCCTGGACTGTTCTGGGTACGGAGGTTTAAAGGACATGGCACTTTTAGGATAAACGAGGGATGCACTGTTGTCCAAACAAAAGTTTTGAAGAGATATTAAAGGAAGATCCCAGGTCTGGACAGATCAGCAGGACCCTGATGCTAAAGGGCCTATATATATATATATTTAGCTTGTACGAAAGGCTTGGACTTCATCATGAAGGCAGTGGAAGCCTTTGAAGGGACTTGGCAAAGTAGTGACATGGTGGGTTATACCAGTCTCTTGCAAGCACTCAACCACTGAGCTTCATCTCCACCCTTTATTTCATTTTTTGCTGGTCCTGGGACTTTGAACTCTGGGCTTGGGCACTGTCCCTGAGCTTCTTTTGCTCAAGGCAAGCACTCTACCACTTGAGCCACAGAGCCACTTCTGGTTTTTTGGTGATTACCTAGAGATAAAGAGTCTCTTGCACTTTCCTGCCCAGGCTGGCTTTGAACTGTTTGAAATGAGATCCTCAGATCTCAGCCTCCTGAGTAGTTAGGATTACAGGCCTGAGCCACCAGCACTGGCTTCACCCTTTATTTTTAAGATAGGGTCTCACTAAGCCAGGCACAATGCCCAGGCCCAGAGTTCAGGCCCCACAACAGAGCCAAAAAAAGAGCTAAGAGACCACACCCAGGCTCTGGGTTTAAGTCCCAGTACTGGTTTGTACACACATACATACAGTCACTTTCATACACACATGGTGTATCACTGTGGCCACAATATGGAGTCTGGCTTGGGAGCTTGGGAGGTAGAAGCACTTAAGAATTAGGAAGAGTTCAAGAAAGATGATGGTGCATAGACCAGGGCAGTTCCATGGTCTTGGGATTAGAGTGAGGGCATGAGATTCAAGAATCATTAGAGGAGTGGAATTGACAGGATTGGGTGAGAATAAAAGTTGTTATTCTACCTTTTGGTTTGGGTAGCAGAAGCAATGATGTTACTCATTTGGTGGAGTGTAGGGATAAGTCTGGGTAGGAGGAGGATGAATGCCAGTTGAGTATTTCTCAGGGGAAGAGGGTCAGGAGGCGGCAGGGTATAGGGGTATAGGGCATAGATGAGGAACGGCCTCTCATACAGACAACAGCATTGCAGGCAGTTGGAATATAGAAATAATTTTATTTATTTTTGTCAGTCGTGGGGCTTGAACTCTGGGCTTGGGCGTTATCCCTCAGCTCTTCAGCTCAAGGCAAGTACTCTACCATTTGAACCACCTCACCACTTCAGGTTTTCTGGTGGTTTATTGGAGATAAGAGTCTCATAGACTTTCCTGCCTGGGCTGGCTTTGAACCGTGATCCTCAGTTCTCAGCCTCCTGAGTAGCTAGGATTACAGGCGTGAGCCACCAGTGCCCAGCAGGCAGGGATAATTTGAAGTGTTTTGGTGTTACTACTTGTTGCAGCAAGGACCAGGCTGGCTTGAGCTCTCCGAGATGACAGAGCAACCAGATTATGACTTGGAGACCTTTGTAAATAAAGCGGAATCTGCTCTCGCCCAGCAAGCCAAGCACTTCTCAGCTTTGCGAGGTAGGTGTGGCTGCATGTGTGCACGGAGTGAGTGGGTGCCTCTGAGACTCTTATCCCTTGTGCATCACTTCTAATTCATTCCAGATGTCATCAAGTCCTTGCGATTGGCCATGCAGCTGGAAGAGCAAGCTAGCAAACAAATAAGCAGCAAGAAACGGCCCCTGTGATGACTGAAATAAAGATGTTTGGTTTCACACGAAGGGTCTGAGCAGGGACACATTTTGGTAAATGCCAAGTGTAGGCATTGGGCCTAGGGCAGCTGGGAAAGGGACACGACTTTGCTTTTCTTTGATTTGGAGCAGGAGGAAAGAGCTTTTAGGTAAGCTGTATGTTGCCCTTTTCTCTCCACTGAGAGGGGCACGCTCACTGGGTACTGTATTTTCCCTGGCAGTGGACTAGCTGCTTCTGCAGGCTCCCCAAGGTTGTCTTAGCTCTGGGAAAGAGAAGGAGCTCTTATCCTATCTCTTGGCTGTTCTGTATACCCTTAGATTATGTAGTTGCATGTTTTATACTTTGTAAACTGTTTCTGAGACCTCTTTCTTCCTTTCTGTTTTTGAAGCCCAAGATGCTTTATATATTTGTACACTTTAACAATAAAGAAAAAAAATCAGCCTCTTGAGTGATGTGGGTAATGAGCCTGGGATGTATCTGAGCCTTTTGCCAGACCAAGAACACTACTGTGCCTTTGGCTTCTAGCTAGTGCTTATTCTGTATTCTTCTTGGAGGCCAGACCCAGGCCTACAGCTTTCATGACCAGCTGAAGACCCAGCCTCTGACTTGTTAGCAGTACTGGAGCTTGAACCCAGGTCCTCCATAGGGACAGGAACTACTCTGTTCCAGTCTCTACATTACATAAGTCTACTTAGGGCAGATTAAAAGACTAGGAACCACCAACTAGAAAGCACTTGCCTTTCTGGAGCAAGAAGAATCTAAAAGGCAACACCAGGGCTGGGAAGGTGGCTCAGTGGTAGAGTGCTTGCCTTACATGCATGAGGCCCTGGGTTCGATTCCTCAGCACCACATAAGCAGAAAAAGGCCAGAAGTGGCACTGTGGCTCAAGTGGTAGGGCATTAGCCTTGAGCTGAAGAGCTGAGGGACAGTGCCCAGGCCCAG